TGATAGCAGATTTTAGCATTTATACCATACAAATTGGATGAAATTAATGTCTAATTAGAGCAACTGAAAAAGAAGCACAAGTCAAAAAATAGTTGGTGTCTTGATAGACTATGAAAAAAGATGTAATACAGCCAGGCGAAACCTGTGTAGCCAGCCAAGTGAATCTTGGACAAAACAAAACATAATTCCTGGTGCCAGAAGAGCTAAATCAGGAACAGAAAATCTATTCATCCACGGACCAAGGCTTCTGCATTTAATTGAACTAAATAACCAATTGTAGAATTGTGCTGTTAATAATAATTGATTATGAAAAACTACAACTTAGAGGTCATCTGGTGAATCATTACATGGCTAACACTGAAAAACACACACAGTGCTTAAGCCATTCCTGTGCTACTGGTATTAGAGTTCCATGACTCTGTGTATGTCAAGTCATTTATCAACTGGAGACATTATAGCATCAAGTCCATAACTAAAGCTTTCCTCTTTTGTGCCAAAACAAAACAGAAGGAATGCTGAGGAATCTATAAGTTCTATCAAATACAGTAGAAATCATTATCTGATTATATTGCCGAGAAAGGTTGTGGAGTCTCCTTCACTGGTGATATTCAAGAACTGCCTGGATGTGCTGGGATGACCCTCCTTGAGCAGGGGGGTTGGACCGGATGACCCACTGTGGTCTGATCCAACCTGAACAATGAAACCATAATTTTACACTAAGAAACAAACTTCCTGATCCGAAGATACCATCTCACAGAGAAGAAAAATCATCCATTACTTTTACTAGTACATTCAAATCTGACTTCCAAGAGGCTAGACTGAATAATTGATAGAATATATCCACATTGATCCCTCTCATTTCATGTCTGTAGAAACATTACTCAGGCAATTTTACGACTGTCCTTCAATCTGTGCTACTATGCCAGCTTCCTCTGGCTTCCTGAAGGGCTGCACATCCATTTTTAAGATGTCTGCTGGAAAACATGTTTCAGTTTCCTTTTCTCAGGGACCAAACAGCCTATACCAAGAATACATGTATAGCTTAAGAGCAAGAAGGTGCAGGAATCTCGGATTGGTTCTCTCTAGGGTGTTCTTTTCAGTCATAGTCATAAATTAAATGTTCTATACCCCTGATGTTTTACATAGTAAATTACATGAGTAATCTGATTTGCCTGGAATAAACATAGTAAAATTATCCACATAGCTCCTGAAGGCCACTCAGAAATGGCATTTTTAAAGTGTTTAGGATTTTGTTCAGAAAGTGAAAGAGTTGCAGAGCTTTTGCCCTCCATTTCATCCCAGATCTCTCCTCTGGTTGGTTTACTGAAGTAACCCATAAGTCTTTCCTTATATTAGTCTATACAAAATAGCAATGTCTCCTTCCTCAGTAGCCAGCGTTTGTACCCTCATGAGCTGCTGGAGAAAAGACAATGTTAGATTCAAATCCAGGCCAATATGTCTACAGGAAGAAGTTGGACTATTTTGTTATACCATTATAAACCTATTTCTTATGGATTTTTCTGAAATTAATGTAGCTAGATTATTGAAAACTGTGTGGAAATTAATGCTTTACCTGTGTCACCTACTTCTGAATTGTTTGCCGAAAAAGCATGAAGATATATCTTAGGAGTATTACCTGCTTTCTTTATAGCAAAGTATCTTACTAATTACTGAAAAGGAAAAAAAATCCTTAAAAAGTAAACCATCAAAGTAGGTAATACTATTTTTACACTTGTGTATTTGCAAAAGGATTGTGTAAAGCTGAATTTCTTTTTTTTTTTTTAACATCAGATGCTGCCAAATTATGTAAATTTAAAATAAAAAAAAGAATATTATATATTTCATAATGCTTTTATAAGTGGTTGAATGATATTTAAGGCTGAATTTTCAGTCTAAAATAACAGAACTTCACTTTAGATGCCAGAGAAACAGAAGCCAGATATCTTTGCATAGACTTATGTATCTACAAGTCTGTCATTGAACCGCTGCAACATAATTTTGCAAGACAGTAGATTATATTTGGCAGTGCTTAGACCATAAATTAAATTGTGTTGTTGCCCTTATTTTTATATTTAAAGCCTTTTCATGATGGAAATCCATGTTAGCTAAGGTCAATGAGTATTAGTAAGCAGATGAATTTGGTGTAAATTGGTAGAAGCCATTTCTTGAAAGTATGGGGATACCTCACAGAGGTGACATCCAGCTGTTACTGAGATCACTCTCTCTCCTTGTCTAGCATAAATGCTAGATTCTACAGCACTGGGCTGTTGAAAGGTATTACAAAAAGGCCAACCTTTAAGGACTTTCAACTTCTGTGTGGAAAGGGAGAGACTCATGTTTTGTTATTCACATATTTCCCAACACTTTGTGCTGTAGCTGCTTGCCTGGGAAAAGGTTGGTTAGGCTAAACCTAATCCAGAATTATCTCTGAAATTGCTTCCTTTACTGTACAATCCCTTCCATTCCTGAAGAACCCTTCCCTTCCAGAAATCCTCTTCTCTTACTCTGAAAATCATGTTGATGACACTGCTGTAGGAATGAGGAGCCTGTTTTACTGAGTAAAATGGAGTTTTTTCTTGGAAGACATTGAGTGGCCTGTCATGTCCCAGAAGAGCTAATGTCTCGGTCTGCAGGCATCATGCTTTCCCATATCATTCTACCACTGCTCAACTATTAGATAGAATACATATGATCCCTTTGATCCTTCTTTTACACGTCTCTTGCTGAAAGGATGAATTTAGGCATCTAGTTTCAGAGGAGTTTTGGGGCTGTGAATCCCTGACACATCCAGATTTTTGGGATGCATGATGGCTTACCCATGATACTGAGAGATAGCTCTCACGGGGTTTCTTTTCTGTGGAAGTTACAATGTGGGCGGTAACTTTTGCATGTGCCAGTTTTCTCCCATTATTGATTGCCGATAAGGCCTTGGCAGGTATCAGACACTGCATAAATAAGTACTAAATCCAACCACACAGATATAGCAGTCAAGAACTGAAGTCCTATCCCTACCTGTAGAGAGTCTACCCACTGTCTTTGACTGGCCTTTAGTTTCTCCAAATCGTTTTAGGTTTCTGTCTCTTTCCAGGGTGATAGACTAGTTCAGGTCTGGAGCGACACTGGTCAGCAGGACAGATAGAAATTAAGCATTATGATAATGAACAGTTAGATCATACAGATGTAAGGAAACTGTCACATTGATTTGTCATGTGTTGCACAGGGATCCTCATCTCTCATTTGTTGATGTTTCCTACTAGTTAGCTTGTGCCTGGACTCTGCTCAGGTGAAACTAGTACTTGGGCAATGAGAACTAGGAGCAGCCCAGAGTAAGGCTGTGCCACAGTCCAGGGTGGCACTGTAAAGTGTCTAATGAGTCTCTTGATCTGGAGACCTTCTTCCTGGTGCTGACCAAAAAAATGTCAGTAGAGACAGAGCCAATATGAATGTAACTGGAGGTTTTAAATACCTATGCACCTAAGTGCTATTTGTGACTACCATTTGCCTTTAGCTTTGAATAAATTCACATGTCAATCATTTTTACTAATTCAAAGGCTTACTTGTCTTCAAAATAGTAAAAAGATCCTATCAGTGTCAAAAATTCTTCCTTTTGGAAAGGGTTTCTCCTCAGAGTTCCTTTTTGCTGAATTCTTTTCTCATGCATTCCATGCATTATGAGGGCTTCAAAGGGCAGGTACAAAAAAAACTAATAGAAACGAGATTTAGCTTAGTTAATACCTTCCCTTCATGTAAAATTAGTCTCTAGGACACTTTACTGGAGACAGAAAAAAACATTCTGTCCCTCCATCAGATTGCTTCCTCTATCTCTTTTTGTTTTCTAAGCCTCAGATATTATGGCTATTAATTATGTCAGATCTTCTTCTCAGTTTATTATAAAACATCTGCTCCCATTTTGTCCAGTTTGGTGACAGAGATGCTATGATGTATTAATAATGCTCTTCTCTTGAATGAGTGTCTTCCCTTTGATTCACACTGTTAAATACTCTAATCCATGTGCTGGAATGACAGATAATACTTTGGAATCAACTGTAAGAGCATTGTTGGTATGGCAGAAGGACATTCCTCTGCTGGTTTATTTTTCTTAAGTATTAGTGTTACATTGGCGTGTCTCAATGTCTATAATAAATTGTTTTTCTCTGAGGAATTTTCAAATAATTTAGTTAAGAGATTGCTAACCATATGTAAAATAATTTCCATTCAGTCCTGGCCTACATCCATTAGAGATAAAGCTTAGACATTTGCTTAGACATTTCATATGACTATCCTGTCACTAAACGTATGGTAAAATCCACATCTTATTCTTTCCTGTTATTTTTTTAAGCTCTGGGGTTTTTTTTGTTGGTTGTTTTTGTTGGTTTTTTTTTTTTGGAGGGGGGGTGGTTTTTTTTGGCAACAGAAGTAACAAACATTGTCTTCAGGTGCCTAATACATAATAACTGAGACAGTCAGTTAAAATGTTTTACAAGATTCTTCAACAATACTAAGAGCTTCTGATAGGGTCAGTTAGGCTAAAGGAAAGTCTACTTTATTAGCTTACATGCTAGAATCTACCTTGTGTATGCGTTTTTAATGAAGCACAGATTAAATTGAGCACACCCATTCCACCTTTGTCCTGTTTTTATGTTTTAAACAGTTATCGACATCTTCTCTCAGTACTTAATTTTATCCCCTAATTCCCATCTGAAAAACTGCACCTCATTCATTTATTTCCTTTGTTTCCAGTACTGAAATTGTCAGCTATAACCCTGTGGCTCACTGAGATCCAACATGAAACACAACCACATTTCCTTCATGTTAGAGGTGTTTGCTTGGGAATTTTTTAGTTTATTGATGTTTACCTAAGCAGTCAATGAGAATTTTTGTCAAGTAGTGGTATATACGTGGCAATGAAAATGATAGTGTAATTTGCCTCTATTACTTCCTGATATCAGGATTCTGCTGCACTGCAAATTTCACATCTGTTGTTATTATTTGTTTGACAGAATCAAAAACATGCCAGGTGCTTTGCAAAACAGAGAACAAGAAAAATCCCTTTCCAGAAGAGATGACAGCCTGAATAGAAATGGCATAATGGCAGGAGAAAAAGGAAGCAGAAAGGGGAAGCAAAACAAGAGTTATAACCATAAGATCATGAGATTGGTTTGGAGGCACAGTGAACGCTATGAGGCATTTTTTTAAAGCGCATAAGGACTGTAGTTGGGATTAGAGAATGGAAATGTAGAAAAGAAGCATGGAAAGGAATGGAGAAGAAGGGAGGAACAGACTGGCAACAGAAGGAAGAGTAAACAGAGGTGTATGGGAGAGGCCAGAACACACACCTGACAAACTGAGGATTATGACTAATGACAAGAATGAAAGACTACATCTGAAGAGCATGATGATTTCAGGAGGATGGTGAAGCAGGACATGGCGATGCTGCTAGGGAGAGAAGAGCCAGCCCTGGAAGCCTGCCCTGGAAGCTCCTCATGCTTAGATAACCCTGCTTCCCCATCTTCTTTCTAGATCCCCTCTTATACACAAAATATGTATATAGAAGAGCAAAGGAGAAGGAGAAGCAGCTAAATAAAACCTTTCCAAAGATCCTGCTGGGGAAGAAGTTTAAGCTGGGATGATACAGATTTACTCCTACTGATGCTGCTCTTGATAGCAAGAGGCAGAGAGCATTCATTCTCTTAGCCATTCTCATGCAGACAAATCAATGGGAGTCTGCCTCTACTTACTAATAGGCCTTGTTGGGAAATACTTAGCAAAATTATAATACTCCAGCCAGTCCAGGACATTTTAAAATGTCCTTTTATTCTAGAACAGAAACAAGCAGAAATTACAACATTCACAGAGAAATGGAAACAGGGAAGAAAAATATTTGAGCAGTTTTTTTTTTTTTTTTTTAAAGCTGAAAATTATGATTTGACTATTACAGAAAAATATAAGGGGAATTTTGCTTATTGTAAAAAGGGTAAATTTTATACCTTTTCATGAAAATTTCTGATAAAATTGGGAATTAGTTTAATTATGTAGGACTGGTTGTTCTTTTTTTTCTAGAAAATTGGTGGTTCTAGAAGGGAACTGGGAAATTTCCATGTTCAGTCTGTCAGACATTTTAAAATACTCTAATTTCCAAGGTAAGAATTCTTCAGGAGTAAGAAAGCTGCAACGTGGCCAGTCTAATCCCTTCCTCACTTCCTTCTCCTCTGCTTTGGTGATCAGATATGTCTAATTATTAGTCTGCAAAGAGCAAAACCAGTTGCTATGTCTGCCTGAGAAAAGGCATTTTGCCAACCGCCTTGAAAAATTTTTAACTGGATCTGCTTACAGGAAGTCACTTTTTTGCTGCAGATTATTTCTCCACTTAAATCGTCCTCAAAGCTCTTCCATTTTGCCTGGAAAAGTTTATCAGAAAGCACGCTGGACAGGCTCAGATCTTTCTGTCTCCAGTGAAACTGTTTTTGGACATAGTTATAGCTTAGCCGATGTACTGGTATGACAGCTGAGAGACTACTGCTGTTCATGGAGTACTCTATTACCTTGGCATACATAGACACTTTTCACTTGATACTTCTGACTGCAAAGTATTGATGTTTAGGGTATTATAGGTAATTGTGCATTTTATTTTTTCTTATGTTTTAGAGAAAAGCATTGGATAAATTTTTCTTCTTCAGGGTAACACAGCTTTGCATGAGTCATTCATCTTGAGTGTACACCAGAGTGATATGAAGTTGGTTGTTGTGACACCTTATCAATATGACTCCCATTTTTAGTCTCTTCTAGCAGTGGAATGATACAAGTATTGCCTAGTAGAAACAATGGCCTCATTTAAGAATATCTTGGTGACTCTGGATAGGATTCAAATAATTTGTCTGAGTGAGGAGGAGACAAGTGTAAGTCATAAACTGAAATATTACCAAAAATCCTTATCTGGTTGGGTTGTCCGTCATTTGCTTGAAGATTTTGGTAAATGGTGGTTTACTGGATTCTCAAATGCTAGCAATGGCCAAGCACTTTTTTTAGATTTTTTTCAATTTGAACTTTGTTTAAGTTAATTAAACTCTTCTCATCTCAGGGTACCATTTTAGCAATGAGGTTTACAGGATCTTCTCTGTCAATGTAGAAAACTCAGCTACTAAAGAACATACCAGGTATAGAGTCAACACAATTTCAGCAGTGCTTCAAGAATCAGTCCCACCTGAGTAATTTCTCTCCACTGTTATTGAAATAATACTGGATTTAAATCATATAGCCATTGTGTCAACTTACCAAAATCTACTCTGCCTAGATTATTTTTCAATCAAATGTAGCTCAAAGTGTTATAACAACCCACATATCATTAAAAGAATGAGATTACAAAGTAGTGTCATAGTATCTCCCCGTAATACAGAATTTTTTTACATATAATTTTTACATATTTGAAAGAATACCATTAACTCAGTTGCATACACCTTTTTGCAATAATGGACTCAGCGTAAAGCAATATCAAAACATGGTTAATGTTTCTACTAATTTTATTTAGCCAAGCTCCAGATTTTCCATAATTTTGCCACTTTTTGGTATGATAGCAGATATGGAGGTTTTATATACCTATCTTTTGGTGCTTAGAGAGGATGCAGCTGTGTGGCACCTTCCCACCCTCTGCTAACAAAAGAAAAAAAAATCAATTAAGAAATGGGGCATAACCTCTGAAAACTGCAGTTTGACCTACCTTCTGAGTTCAGACACTGAACTGGATGCATGATTTGAGAAGGGATTTAATACCAGCTACCTCAGTAGCTGCGTGGTATTACAGGAAAAATGTAGTAAAAGAGAGTATTATAATGTATCCTGAGAATAGAAGACAGCATGTTATTTTGCCTATATTTTTTCTTTTAACCTTGCCTATACTTTTCCTCACGATCCTTCCCTATTGTTGTCTGTTAGCTTTTTCAGGAGGACACTTGGTTGTGTGTAGAGTAAGAGTAGCTGCACCGACTCAAGCCCACATAATCCTGTGTATCTGGCAAGTGTCTTGACTTGGTAGGGGTACAGTTCTGTCAGACTGTAAGGCCTTCACTGTCCCCTGCAGATTAGGGACACCTTCAGCTATTGAATTCCAGACATCTTCAGGGCTCTATATCCAATATGTATAGTTCAAATGCTTCCCAAATCAGGGGAGTGCACTATGATGAATAGTTTGAATTTGTCCTATATCCTGTGAATTTACTTACTTCTTCTGTCAATCGTTCTCTCTCTGTCTTGCCCTTCTTTCTCCTGAAATAGAGTGACCAGGGCTGCATGAATTATTCAACATAAGAGTGTATGATGTATTTATACAGTGATATAGCGATACAGTGTATTTATATATATATGTTTTCTATTTTGTTTACAGTTTCTTTCCTAATCATCCAAATATCCTGTTTCACATTTTTAATTGACACTGAGTGCTTGACTTGATGTTTTCAGAGAGATGTCTAATATATTTCCTTATTTTTTTCTTCTCAAGCAATAGTTAATTTATAGTCTCTGCCTGTGTATGTATAGTTAGACTTATTTTCCCCTTGTTCAGTTCTTTCTGTTTTATCAATTTTCATCACCCCTTCATTGCTGAGAGCATTCAAAATTGTGAAATCATTTTCCAGTTCTTTACAGGCAGCTTCTGATTTAACTTTTAAAACCATTTTGTATCAAATTTCACATCTGAAAGTTCTTAGATATCACATTTCCCTTTATTACTAATAAAAGTACTTTTGCTTAAATCCTTTGTTCAATTTCATGCCTCAGTCCAGGAATCTTTGCACGCACTTAAGTGCCCAGTGGCTAAAATTCACTTCTGTGTTTTTCAGGATGGGGAGAAAGGACTCCAAGCTATTGTCATTTATGTTTTATTAATTCGAGACCTTTAAAGTAGACTTTAGACCTTCTTATTGCCTCCTGGTTCTGACAGAGTGGTTATACAACCTCCAGAGTGAAAAATTCCTAAGGGCTAGATCCATAAAGTACATCTAGGAATGCCTTTAGCCTCTTAAACGTCCTACCTCCTTGCAAATCTATAAACACAGACTAGTCACGTCCCTCTAAACTGAAAGAGAAAACCTGGGTGTTTAGCAACAACCTCCACCAACTCTGGCACGTTGATCAGGAAACAGTCTGAGTGAACAGAAGAACAGCCAGATGGTGGAAATTAAATGAATGAATGGTGTACTGATATTGGAATATTTTTCAACACTGCTTAATTCATGGGATTGTAAGGTGCTGTGAAGTGGGACTTCCAGCATCTCTCCTGCAGTTGCTGTTTCTCTTGTTTATCCCACTATTTCCTGCAGTGTGCTCTAGCATTAAACTACAACTCTGAGGTCACAATTCCTCTCTTTTTCTCTGTTTCAGTAAGTGTTGAATTTTCAGAGTTAGGCAACAACTGAGTGAACTTTGGGGAACTACCCTGTCAGTGTGAGCACTTGAAGCTGCATTTAGCCACTTCTGTTTTGGTGCAGGTCTAAGCTGGGGTCTGTGTTACAATACCTGTGAAAGCAGTGACAAGAATTTGAACCCTGACTTTGCAGATCTGTTAAACTTGCTTGTGTAAAAAGGAAACACTGTATATATCCCATATCTTAACTTCACCCAAATGGCATTCTAGTAATTCTACAAAACCCATTCCCTGTCTACACAAGTATTAAGCCATGACCCATGTTACCTCATGTGAATATTGAGAGTAGACCCTATGAGTTATAAATATTCATAATACACCAGAAATCTTACTTAGTGGGGAAAAGGAGTGGGCGACAGTACTCAAGGTGCAGCCTTCCCAGTGCTGAGTACAGGGGGACAATCACTGCCCTCATCCTTCTGGTCTCAATTTTTGCGATAAAAGCTGAGATGCCATTGGCTTTCTTGGCCATTTGGGCATGCTGTTTGTTTATGTTCAGCTGGCTGTCATCTAGCACCCTCAGGTCCTTTTCCTCTGGGCTGCTTTCCAGCTGCCCCCATCCTGTAGCACTGTGTGGGGTTGTTGTGACCCAAGTGCAAGGACTTCTCACTTGGCCACGTTGCAATTCATACAGCTGGCGTTGGCCCATTGATCCAGCTTGTCCAGATCCCTCTGTGGAGCCTTCCTGTCCTCCAGCAGATCAACATTCCTGCCCAACTTTATGTCATCTGCAAAGTGACAGAGGTTACACTTGATCCAGATCATTAACAAAGGTTGAACAGAACTGGCCCCAACACTGAGCTCCTCACTAATGGTGAACACCATTAGTGGCTGGCTACCAATGGAATTCAACTCCATCCACCACCACTTTCTTGGTCCAGCCATCCAGACATTTTTTACTCTACAAACACCTGTCTACACCATGAGCAGCCAGTTTCTGCAGAAAATGCTGTGGGAAATTTTGTCAAAGGATTTACTAAAGTCCAGGTAGACATCATCCACAGCCTTTCCCTCCTCTACTAAGCAGGTCACACAAAGAAATCGGGTTGGTCAAGCAGGACCTACCTTTCACAAACCTGTGCTGGCTGAGCCTGATCTCCTGCTTGTCTTGCATGTGCAGAGTGATGGCACTCAAGATGATCTGATCCATGACCTTCCCCACCACTAAGATTAGGCTGATGAGCCCCAGATCCTCCTTTTGACCCTTTTTGTAGCTGGGTGTCACATTTGTTAATTTCCAGTCATTTGGGACTTCCCTGGTGAGCCAGCACTGTTGAAAAATTATGGAAAACAGCTCACTGAGCCCTTCTGCCAGTTCCCTCAGTATACTCAGGTGGATCCAATCTAGGCCCCATGGGCTTGTGTGCACCTAAGTTGTGTAGAAGGTCACTGAAAGTTTCACCTTGGATTATGGGGGCTTCATTCTGCTCCCATATGTGTCTTTCAGCTCAGAGGGCTGGGTACCAAGAGAGCAACTGGTCTTACTATTAAAGACTGAGGCAAAGAAGGCATTGTTATTTTTTTTTTTAAATGTTTTAATAGTTATTATAGTTGTAATTATTACTATTATTAAGACCTAGGCATTACCTCAGACCCATATACTCATCCTTTGTCACTGTACTTCCCCCCACATTCAATAAAGGATAGAAATTCTCCTTAACCCCCATTTTTGCAGCTAATGTATTTATAGAATGTATTTAACATTATCTTCTTATGGCAGCAGATCAATTAAGTTCTAGTCGGGCTTCAGCCCTTCAAATTTTCCTCCTGCATAACCTCATGACATCCTTGTAGTACTTGTGAGTGTCCTGCCTCTTCTTCTGAAGATCTCTCTTTTTCTGTTATCCAACCTAACCCTAACCCTGACATAACTTCAGGCCATTCTCTCAATTCTTGTCACTGGTTACCACAGAGAAGAGATCAGTGCCTGTCCCTCCTCTTCCCCTCATAAGGAAGTTGTAGACTGCAATGAGGTCTCCCCTCAGCCTCCCCTTCTTGAGGCTAAACAGACTAAATGCCCTCAGCTGCTCCTCATACAGCTTCACTTCAAAGCCCTTCACTACCTTTGTTGCTCTCCTTTGGGCACTTTCTAATTAAGCTTAATATCTGTCTTATATTGTGGTGCCCAAAACTGCACACAATATTCAAGGAGAGGCTGCCCCAGTGAAGAGCAGAGTGGGACAATCCCCTCCCTCGACTGGCTGGTGATGCTTTGCCTGATGCCCCCCAGGACACAGTTGGCCCTCCTGGCTGCCACGGCACTGCTGACTTATCTTCAACTTGCCATCAACCAGGACACTCAGGTCCCTTTCCATGGCACTGCTTTCCAGCATCTCATTCCCCCGTCTGTATGTACATCCAGGGTTGCCCCATCCAGGTGCAGAATCTGGCACTTTCCCTTGTTGAACTTCATGTGGTTGGTGATTGCCCAGTCCCCTAATTTGTCAAGGTCTCTCTGCAGGGTCTCCCTGCCTTTGAGAGAGTCAACAGCTCCCAGCTTTGTGTCATCTATAAACTTGATTAGTATCCTTTCCAGTCCCACATCCAAGTCATTAATGAAGATGTTGAAGAGCACAGGGCCCAAGATGGAGCCCTGTGGAATACCACTAGTGACAGATCACCAGTCTGATGTCACCCCATTCACTATTACCCTCTGTGCCTGACCCATGAGCCAATTGCTCACCCACTGCATGATGTGTTTATCCAGCTGTGTGCTGGACATTTTATCCAGAAGGATCCTGTAAGAGACAGTACTGAAAGCTTTACTGAAATCCAAAAATTACATCAACTGTCTTCTCTTGATCAACTAGGTGTGTGTTCTTGTCATAAAAGGAAATCAGATTGGATAAGCAGACATTCCTCTCATGAAGCCATACTGACTGTGACCAATGACAGCATTGTCTTTCAGGTACTTTTCAATACTTCCCAGAATAGTCTTCTCCATCACTTTACCAAGCACTGAAGTGAGACTGGCAGGCCTGTAGTTTCTGGAGCCCTCCTTCTTACCCTTCTCAAAAATCGAGGCAATATTTGCCAGCTTTCAATCAGCTGAGACCACTCAAAAATAATTGAGAGAGGCTTTGCAATGACATCAGCCAGCTCTTTGAGGATTCTTGGATAAATCCCATCAGGCCACATAGATTTGTAGGGATCCAGCTGGAACAGCAGATTCTGTGGAATTCCAGGGTCGACTGCAGTCACAGTCCTCCAGCTCAGGACACTGAGACCTCTCTGGTCCCTTATGCATGTTGAAGACAGAGGCAAAGAAAACATTAAACACCTCTGCCTTTTCTCTGTCCCTGTTTGTGAGGTGACCATCCTCATCCTGTAATGGGTCAATGATATCTCAATACTGCCTATTGTCATTAATATTTTTGAAAAAGCTTTTTTTATTGTCCCCCACATTTCCAGCAGCTTCAACTCCAGTTGAGCTTTGGCCATACAGATTTTCTCCCTAGAGTGGCAAGCAGTATTTCTGTATTCTTTCCGTGTCGCTTGACCTTGTTTCCACGGGGAATACACCTTCTGTTTTTTGCATTATTTACAAAGAAAAGATTCCTGTTCAGCCAAGCTGCCTGCTTGACTTCTGATATTTGAGAGTTGCCTGCTCCTGTGCCCCTGCTCCCCCCCACTGCTTATTTCTGCAAGAACTGAAAACTCTATCATTTCATGATGGCTGTGCCCTCCAACCATCAAGTTCTGCTCTTTTTGCAAACATCAGGTCCAGTGGGGCATTCCTTAGTTGGCTCCCTCAGAAGCTGCATTAGGAAGGTACCCTGCACACACTCCAGGAACTTCCTAGACTGTCTCCTCTGTTGTGTTATACTTTCAGTAGTTATCTGGTAAATTAAAGTCCCTCATGAGAACTACAACCAGCAAATATGAAGACTTCTCCCAGCTACTTATAGAATATTTTGTCCACCTCCGCTCTTCCCGTTTGTTACTCGTGCTGCATGCATTGGTGTAGAAGACTAGGCAGGGAATTCTCTCCAAACTAATATTACAAATGAACTTTTAACCAGTGGACAGCTACTGTAATCAAAGCTGAAGTATCAAGGAAAACAAATTGAGATGGTCAGTTTGGAAGCAGGTTTTCTAATAAATACAAGGAGTTGGTTATATGCTTCATTAAATATTTCAGAAATATTTAAAACTTCAGAGAAGATGCACTGTTGTCAACCATAATTAATACTAATTTGGACAAGAATATCTCAAACCCTACTGTAGTAGGTATTGATAACTGGAGCCAGCAGAAATTTCTTTAGGCAGTTCAATATCTACAATTTTCTTATTATATTTCTGTTTATTTTTTAATATTTATACAAATTGTCAAGAATTTGCCAATTAATATGTAACAATATATGGAACACATTCTTTCTGAAAACTTCATGCTCTAGTGTTTTCTAATATCTGTTAAAAACACAGTTTAAATTATAACTACAACTTCTGACTTATAGAAACTATAGGCAAGGCTCATGGAAAAAGAAGTGCAGACTTTGTAGATGAAACAAATTAAGTTTAAAGCTAGTCCAACATATTAATATTGTGTATCTCTGCCAAATAAAAATGTAGAAATTGTCAAATTAGTCCATTCAGAATTGCATTTTATCTGTACAATTATAAAAAATGGCATATTCATTTTGATGGCTCAATAGAAAATGAAGGATTTAGATATTTGTGTCATCACATTCTAATCATCACCAAAGCTGTGCATAATTCCTTATGCAGAACTAGACAAAATTACTGGATAAAACATAAAGAAGTCTTTACTAGAAATTTTCTCTATCTACCCATGAGTACACACAGATATTCCAGTACACATGCACAAATAGATGTACTGTCAAAAGGTCTTTGTTTCAGGAACTAGAGATATATTAAGAATTAAAAAACTTTGTTTAAGGAAAACTTTGCCTTTGTGTGATATCTGAATTGAAATTTCACAGAAACTTTCATGTGTATAAAGATGTACTTTTCCACAATCCAACAAAAATAAGCACTAGAGATGTAATCTGCATTCTTGCTTGCCTGTGTGTCCATCTTTTGCTTTCATTTTGATAATATCTTTATTTTCCACCTCCTCACTTCCATGCTTTTGGACAAGATTAATAGAACTGCTAACTAACTGCATTCCCACAAGGGACCTAAGAAATAACCTCAAAATTGTACAACGTGTAATTTAGAGTAATTAAATAATCTTTCTGTCACCCTTGAAAATAGAGGGCACTACTTTTGCCACTTCCTGCCCTCATATGCATTTTATACTGAAGTACGCCCCTGGAAAAAACTGCAAAAGTTCTGAAATTCTCTTTTTTAATTTTTTTCTTTAATCACGATTACCAGGGGGAATGGAGTTGGTGGGGTGAATGTAACCAGGATTAAAAATATCAGGTGCCACTAGGTGACATTAAATGTAATGAAATCTCAAGGTCAATTTAATTTCTTGTGTCTCCTTATCTCTCCTACACATAGTACTGTATCTCAGTAGCTGCCACCAACAGCTACCATCAGAACACTTGGCTAATTAGTAATCAGTCATGTCACTTGGTGTGATCTCATCCCGTCTGACTGCTGAACCTGAGTGCAACAACAAAAAAGGAAATTGAAAACTTTTAGCAACTATGTGTTTGGTCCACGTATTTGCAGCAGCATTTTGTGCCTGCAGTTCAAGCTTTCATTATACTACAGTCACAGGCATGTTTGAATTTGATGGTTTTGGTAGTTAATCATTTAGTAATGAAAAAGCATGACATTTAGCTACCAACAAAATAACCCCATCGCATGCTAGAAGATAAGATTTCTTAGCAATTCAACAGCATTATGATAGGGGAAAAGCTTTTAAATAAAACTCCTACTCATATATCCTTTCTCATCAGTACCATTTCAGCAGGAGAGTACCCATCATAGCCAAATAAAACCAGAGAACATCACATCGCTGGGACCTGATCCAGAAAAGAGCTTAAGTACATACAGAATATAAAGATAAGAATATCCCATCAAAGTTACTATATGATGATCCACATGATTAAAATTACACAGAAATGTAGATGCTTTTCTGGATTAGAGTCTAAGGAATCAGGCATTTAAGATCAGCCTTTCATGTTGTAAAAATATTCACAAATCTTTTTAAGAGATGACATATAAATAAAAATTACTATCTTGCCTTTTACTGCTAGACTCAGGACAACTTCATATGTGAAAATCCTGCCCATTAGATGATCACTTTATTCCCAAACTAAGCAGCTGTTTGAAGTGGCAATCCTAAAGTGCTAATCTCTGGTACCAATAAACAAAAGTAAATCACGGCAGAAAACTCGTTTATGTGCAGTAATCTCCAGAAGATTAGCATTTCAAGGGATCAGATTTGCTAAAACTCCTCTTTCCTGATAACAGCCTCTGCTGTGAGGTGACACACCAATAGGCATAAATTATCTAGAGCCGCAGATAAGCAGAGGCCATTTGGGGGTTCGAAGTGCAATATAAATAGATGCAAAACAGTAGGGGAACTGGTGCTCATCACAAACCTCAGAAGGATTAGCAGTTCAAGCTCTGATTTCCTTGCTGTTGTTAGCTGTGATTTATCATCAGACAGCGACTGAGAGTCTGTCTTATCTGTGATAATTTAATGGCTTAATGGCAGTCCCTTTATCTGGGGGTCATAATTAAGCTTGTTTGATCAGTTTCCTAACAAGCACCTCTCCTGTATTTTTAGCTATGCCTATTTTTTCTCTGTGTGTAGCAACAGTTTTGCTAATTACTATTAACAATATTATTGTTAACAATTACTGGTAATGATAACAATCTCTTAAAAGCTTAGCATTTATCTGGAGGAAAAACACAAGTCAAAAAAGATGCAAGACTTTTAATTTAAATACATTTATAGGAGATATTAAGTGCAGTCTCAACACCTTTTTGGTTTGTTGGATTCAAAACTAACTCGTATATGTAACTGGATAAAATAATTTTTAGTTGAATTTTTTTCTCTGGTACAAAATTAACATTAATTTGAAAGCTAAGATGACTCCTATCTTACAGTGCATTTACTGTCCCTCTCTATTGTCCCACTAATAAGTTATTTCTTTAACTCTCATGGGAACTTTTTCAACAAAAGGTGAATATTAAGACCTTATTATGACTGTTTAAAAACATAGTCATAAAAAGTGTCATTAGAATTACACTTTAGCTGTTAAAATCACTACCAAAAGAAGCAATTATTTTTTAAATGTACCAAATAATAGATATTTGAAAAAAATCTTTCTAAGATTTTATTTTTTTTAATACAATGCAGTGACAAACAAACAACTGCATTAAATGTGGGTTGATTTGTTTTTGTTAGGGTTTTTTTTTAAGGAAGAACAAATAAAAGGAAACAAGTTCAGATTGGCCACATTATTTCTTAATTATTGATGTAAATTTCTTAATGAGACTCCTTGGAGGCCACAAGGAGATGTGACTAGATTATGTTTTGATATTTTGGGAAGCAGAATGACTGGCTGTAGAAAGACATCTAAAAAACTTCATCACATGTATGTAGACACAAGAGATATGTTTGTAATATGTGCATATATGTATATAAATCTATTAATATGTGCATTTGTATAAATTTGCACATTTATATATGTTTTGTATTATATATTTTATGGTTTGTATACTTTTAGTCATATACATAAATTTATGTATTCACAGATTTATTAAAGTTTGTTGTTAGAATAGGGGTTATTTATCTTTTTAAGAAAAAAATTAATAGTGGGACAGAGAATATATATGTCTAACTAAATTAATTATTTAGATACTATAATTAATGCAGAAATACAAGATTCATTAGAGAGTGAGTCATTCCACTTACCTGATTTGCTTGTTTTAGATTTGGATAAGTTGCTTTTCTTTCTCATAGCTATAGATGAACCCCAGGTGATGTGGCTAAGTTTGTAGATGGTTGAAGGCTAGATGAGATGACTTCCACCCACATGAAGGAAAGAAATAATCGATTTCAGAATGAGAATTTTGAATACTTTCCTTTAGAGAAATGTTACCTTCCTATACTTTACAAATGAAAGAACTATCATAGAAGAAGTATTATATATATATGTGTATAAATATATTTATGTATATATATTATATATATGTGTATAAAGATATATATATGTATAAATATATTTCCTGCCTCATGTGGAAAAAGGCTCACCTGAGAACTCTGGATACATCAGCCTTTTCCTCTGGAGATTATTAAATAACCTATAGGAATATTGATTAAATATGCAAAGACTTGCCAGCAACCGCAAAGAAAAACAAAACCAAAGAAACAACACATCTGTTCATTCTCCTATCCTAACAGTGCAATTTTACTGACTTTTGCTGAGTTTTGCAGGTGGATCAGAAATGATTTGTGTTCAGCTGTTTGGCAAGCAGGAATTTGATTTTAAGCTTGCTATCTGGCCAAGAGTATGGCAGAGGAATTTACTAGGAGTATTATAGACTACAGTTTCGAATGAGCTTTATTCCACACAAAAACCTTGGTCCAGTTCTAGATGAAATCAATGAGAAACTTTTCACTGACTGTAGTGGGATGAGGTTGAAGGTGCCAGCCATATTGCAGCTGCAGCTGGCAGTTGCTTGGGAAGATGAAATTTTACTGAAGTATGAAACAGTGTGAAAGATAGAAATGACAGGGTGTAAGGAAGATTGCAATGCAACACAGTGAAATCCTTACCCAGTATCTGCAGCTAAGGCCACTGACACTTGGGTGCTGAGCTGACACTCAAAGGCTTCAACAAGATAAACCCACACAGTCACCAAGACGTGTGCTTTACACATTTAACTTCACAGATAACTTTCCAAAACTAACAGGACAGAAACATTGCTCAATGAATATTATTTTTGTTGTTGTCAGTATGTGACAAGTTTATCAGATTTTCTTCTGCCACTAGAACAAATTGTTAAGGATATCTAAAATAGGAATTCTTACCCAGCTCACAGTGTGAACAGAGACAGCATCATGCAGTCACCACTGTTTTGTTAGTTGCTTACTAGTTAGTGCCAGATATAATATAGCCAAATAAATCTACAAGAACAAAACCATCATGAACTTTGTGGAATGCTGTGAAATGCTGAAACCTTAGTTTTAGGTTCACCAGAGGTTTCAGTGGATCTTGCTGTTGTCAGTGTAGAAGACAATAAATATCCTAAATATATCTCATTGTTTTAACTTTGGCTGTTACTTTCCACTACTTGCAGAAATAAAGCTCATCCTAAAAAGAAATAATAGATATTATAAAACAATTACTCATGCATCTGAAAAATGCAATAAATTTTCAGTTAATAATGCAGCTTATTGGTTTCTGCCTCTGGATTCATGGTCAGGATTAGAACTGGATTAAATTTGCTGGTTTGATTTTGTGTAGTTTTGCATGAAAATTATCACTGTTTGGTAACATATTCAGTCCCATTGTTCTTCTAACATTTGTAGCTTTAATAACATTATTTTATTGGCTATATGTATATATAAATATAAACATGTTGGTATACACATACATAGATACTGATTTACAAACCCATAAATTTTCACTTGTTCTTTAACGTACAAACAATTTTCAAGAAACCTATTTTCACCCTCAAACAGCCATGTTATTACATGGAAAACAGTCTCAAATGTGATTTGAATACTTCCATTACAAAGATAAATTTTGTTCCAACTAGAATTTAAATGTTGTTTTCACTAGATCAGATTCAATTCTATGTGTATAACAAGCAATCTCCTTGATATTTGGGACATTTTTTATTACATCATGAAAATTTTGCATAAGATGGTTTCCTTATGCAAAGGAAATTCCTTGAATTCTCTTTTCAGCTCTTCCTTTGGTTTACTATTTTATTATAGAGAAAACCTTTTAATCTCTCTGAACTTCAGT